CTAACATAGTAGGCCCATTTGGATCAGTGGAACTTACAGAGCAGCTGACTCTTCAAATTCCCATTGATTTGTTGAGCTGATTCTAGTGCAATTTACTATGCCAAGCAGCAAGATTTGGGCCATTGTGTATATATTTTGTGAGAAATCTGATAATATCGTTTCCTGTCGACCCTGTGATTCTGGCAGCAATTGGATATGTAGGGGAAACAATGCATTTTCTTCCCCTTCCTTTTTTATACAGTCTAGATTCTAGAGCTTCAGAATGTAAGGAAATAAGACCGAGGAAGAGAAGAATTCTATGTGTCCTCCATGGTGGATGACCTATGCCTGGCTAAATGGGGTGGGTGGATCATATGATATATAATGTCTTCCCCATCCAAAGGAAAAGAGAAGACATTCCCTGCATATCGAAGACTAGATGGCACAGAAAAGGCTAGAGGCTGTAAAATGTGTGGAGAAATATTCCATGTACAATCCCCACTTCACTCTGAAGTGGTACATAGTACATGTCAGATGTAACTCATAGAAATGAGAACTTGTTGTATGGCATTGTGATTAATTCATACTGAATTTTAAAATAAAGGATGCAGTGTCAATCAATTGTAGTTTAGATTCAGTGAAACCTATGTATTGAATAATTGACACTTTTAGAGCTAAGAGAAAATTGGATTCAGAGCAGGGTAATACAAAGTAGCAAGATCAGGACTGCGGCTGTCTGCCATGAAGCAGAGTTCTGGTAAAGGTGAGGTGGAATGAGGCTGAGGTTAGAGAGATTAGAAAATCTGGTCATTCAGATCAGAGGTGACAGAAGGGGCATGGGGAATAATCTGGAAGCTCATAATGGGATCAGGCCCCACCAGTCTGTCTAGTTTCTTTGAAATCTTCCTTTGGCCACAACTCCTCAGGGCATAGAAGTTGAAGTCCCTGCTTGATATGCTTGGGCCTGGATGAAGCACTTGCTGCTTACTTGAAGTCCAGCAACCAAATGTATGATCTCATATATTCCAGTGTGTGGCTGCCAAATGTAGCAAATCATGCCCTAATTATCAATGATTATGATTATATGCAATCTTTTACCCTCACTTGATACCAAAGTATATATTTTTGCTTGTTTATATTTCTTGAAGTATCAACATACAGTGGGGTCTTGACTTGAGAACTTAATCCGTATTGGAAGGCGGCTCTCAAGTCAAAATGTTCTCAAGTCAAATCTGCATTTCCCATAGGAATGCATTGAAAACCATTTGATCCGTATCTGCTCTTTTCCGTCCATAGAAACTAATGGGAAGCTGCTATTCCGCCTTCGACCACTAGAGGGGGATATTTTGTTTCTTTTTTTTTCTTAGGTCAAGAAAGGTTCAGGGAAGGCAGGGAAAATACAGTCCAGGCAGTACAGTACCAGGCAGTCCGAAGACTGTCTCCCAATCCACTCTCTAAATGCTGGGAGGAGTGAGGAAGCAGACAGGCACCCTTTTCACTGGCCAACAGTTAACTGAAAGTTCACATTTTCCACTTTCCCTGCCTCCCACGTGGTTTTTTTAAGTTCTTAACTCAAATCTAAGTACTTAAGTGAAGTCAATATTTTCCTATGAGAGTGGTTCTTAAGTCAAAATGTTCGTAACTCAAGCCGTTCTTAAGTCAAGACCCCACTGTATCTATGTTCTCTTGGGTGTGAATTTTGTCCCATCCAAGATGCCAAGTGAAAATGTTGTAGTCCTGTTTACTAGAATAAAAAAGTTTCCTGATTTCAAGAGGTTTTTAAATTTTTTCCAGTATTGCTGTTAAAGTCTTCTGTGATATGTACATATGTAAGAGAACATTACAGCAGTACCTTGGTTTACGAAATTAATACATTCTCCGGAATGTTACGTAATATGGAAATTTCGTAAACTGAAACACAGATTGGTTGTTGTGGGTTTTTCGGGTTCAGTTTGTGAAGGAAGTTTCCTTGTGCCTGGATGTTTATAGATTGCTACGGCAATCCGTGTTTCAATGTTTCAATGCGTTTTTCGAGTTCTTCGGCCGTGTTCTGACGGTTGTTCTTCCTGACGTTTTGCCAGTCTCTGTGGCTGGCATCTTCAGAGAACTCGAAAAACGCACAACAACCATCAGATCCCGGCCATGAAAGCCTTCAAGAATACATTGAAACACGGATTGCCGTAGCAATCTATAAACATCTAGGCACAAGGAAACTTCCTTCGCAAACTGAAAGAAACCGGAAAAAACGTAAACTGAGGCATTATTTTGAACAGATTTCCATTCGTAAACCTGAAATTATGTAAACTGAGGCATATGTAAACCCAGGTACTACTATTGTGAATGGTCATATTTGTTTGAGTCCTTAAACTGAGCTGGAAAAGGAGAGTTTAGCAACTGCAGTTTAAAATAAGATGTTGGTCTCCTTGATTTTGAATAGTAGCTGTAAGATGCCATTTGCATGAGTCACTGTAGATATACAGTACATGACACTCTGAGATTGTTCTGCTGTCTGCAAATAGTCACTTAGGGAAAGAGGAATGTAATGTGCTTGGTTTCTGCTGTGTTGTTTCCGCTGTACACAGTTGTTTAAACCCAGTGAGCTATAAAGTGGGTCAAGAGTCTGAAGTCCTTTTATAAATTTATGAGGGGTCAGAATTATAATTCATACACTTTAATGTTTCAAAGGCTTTGGTATGGGAGAAAAGTTTTGTTTTGATTTAAAGTATATTTTAAAAGAAATTGAGTTTCTTGCTTGCTCTTTAAATGAAAACATCTCCCTCCTCCACACAGCTGACATTTCCGGTTGACATCACAGTCCCAAAACATCTCCCAAATTATGTGTATATTTATAATCAAGTGTCTAGGTATATTTCATGAACGGAAAGAATATGTTAGGAAGGCTATTTAGTGTATTAGCTTGTACATTTTCCATAATCAGGATAGCCCTTAAAGGCCAAGGAGTTTGGCTTTTTAGGGCCTGTCTAGACATTTCTAATTCAGGGGGTACGTATGGTGTTTCAGTGCTTCCAGGCCTCAGAGTCTGAATATTCAGAGTGTTTTAGCTTCCAGTGGTTCACATGGCTGAGAGTGCCATACATGAAACCGGCGTGGACCATGCAATCTGCATAGCTGGCTTCTGCTGATGAGCACTCTTGGACTGTGGAGAACTAACCACTAGCTAATTCAAGCTTGGTGTTTCTGAGTACTGCTTTTATCCCGTGGATTATAGTCTCTGAATGTAGGGGGTGTAGGAAGAACGAATTAGTTGGAAGGGAACTGTACAGTTAAAAGCTTCCCTGAACATGTAAAAATAACACATTAAAAAGAAGCTGCCTAAGTAGGTTATCTCCCTGAATTTTGGATGACCTAGATGCAGTGATGCTTTCAGACGAGCAGTCCCCACATGATGCATTGTGCCATCTCATCCAGAACTGCCCTTCTAAAGGTCCAACCGCAAAAGCTGGCCAGCTTGAGTGCATTTGAAAAAGAATCTTCTGTGTTGTTGCCCTTATGCTCTGGAATTCTCTTGCTGAGTCCCTGTAAAGTATGACTTCTCTGCAGGTATTCAGAAGAGGATGTGAGGCAGAGTAGTTTTGGTGGGTCTTCGGAAGCTAAGAACTGCTGTTCTACCACTTGTGTGGCATGCATTTGTATATGTTGAGGTTTATGGTGTTGCTAGCTTTTATCATATTTTATCATTTATATGGAGTATTTTGCTGTTATGTGTATTGTTTTTGTATTGTGCACTATTCTGGGTCTCTTCAGAGAGAAAACGAGCATATAAATGAAATAAACGAATGAATGAGAAAAGTGTACCAAGTGCTTGTCTATGTATTTGAGAAGAATCCCTTGTTTCTTACTCCTAAAAGGATTCCGTAATTTCTAGTCATATGGAAAATAATAGCATCCTGAATCTATGCTTTGCAGTAGAGCCTGACCCATCAGGGAAAATGGAACACTGTCCTTCTCCATTGGATGGTCAACCTACCACACCCAGCACACTCCTAACATCCTGCATCCTTTCCTCTTGTTTCTGTGTTAATGCTCACTGTCTCTCTGTTTACGTATGGGGTGTGTGAATCATTCTCTTTCCCTCTCTTTCAATGTACATATGCATGTGAATATCCTCTGACTGCCAGCCACTGGCCGATAAGAGGATGAGTGATAGCTGGTCCTCATTTGACCAACGACAGTAGACGCCAACCACTATTTATCCTCAAAAGGTTCAGAGGAAGCCTTGAAGGAATGGTAGAAGTTGTGATATTACTGGTCCCAACTGATTTTTCTAACAGATAAGAAAAGGGGAAGAGCCACCCATAGAGGCTCTTCCTCTTCTATTTATTTCCTTATGAAACTGCCCCTGTTGGTATTTGCATAGCCTCACTCTCATGGGGGTCTGTTATATCCACTTCAGCTCTTGGTTGTTTGCTGCTATGAGTCTGATGCATTTTTGTCTTAACTATCCTCTGCCAAGTGTAGGGTCATGGGAGGAGGAGGGGGTGGAGGATTTCACTGTGCCCCTCTTTACTGCACAGCTTCCTGTAGCTACTCTACAGAGTCATTGGCCTAAGCTTCATGTGTTCCCTAATGGCAGAGGCCACCGGAGGACATTCTTTGAATTAGTGGAGCTTCCTGGTTTCCATTTGAGTGGAGGCACTTGAATTAGTTAAGCCCTGTTGCTGGGCTTTCTGCCGAGTTATCTTGTGCTACTCTGGGAATTTGCTGAAAGGCGCCATGGCTCTGGTTGACTTCCCTGTAATGGTGTGTGTGTGTATGTATGTGTGTGTGTTGGGGGGGAGATTCAGGTGCTGCTTATATCACTTGCATCTTCCCTCACCTCTAGCTGTTGTTTATTTTTTTGTTTATATAGTACCACCAATAGGCATGGGAGTGTAAAGTATCACAAATAATATCAAGATCCTGACCATCAAAACTTAACAAATTGGAAGCAATTTTGATTGCGTTTAAATGATAATTTTTTATCTATTTAAATTTGACTGGTTTATTTTGTTTCAATTTAGATATCTGATATCCATGTTACTGGAGAGTCAGAGGACATGTCTGCTAAAGAAAGATTGCTCCTGTGGACACAGCAGACAACTGAGGGTTATGCTGGAATTCGTTGTGAAAATTTCACTACCTGCTGGCGAGATGGGAAATTGTTCAATGCCATCATTCACAAATACAGGTAAACACACACATGCTTGAATTGTGTCAGTAATACATACAGCTATGATTACTTCAAGAGTGATGACATACACAGTGAGAATTACGTCATTGCAACAGGTCTGGGACTTCTGTTTATTACATCAGAGCTGATGCTGAAAAATGTTCTTCCTTCTGAAACAAGGTTAGGGAGCTGTATACCTTAAATCCAGGATAGGTAACCCTTAGCTTATGGATCAGATGTGGCTCACAGGGGTTACAGATCCAGCTGCAATGAGAGATAAGGTTGCAGAATATTAAAGAGGGTATTTAAACTGCTGCATAGAAAAGAGTTGTGGCTTGCAGTCAGGAAGTATCTTGCATTGTGGCTTATTCTTTCGTAGCCATGTGCAGAAGTCAGCTGTGATTTGTATGCTTTGTGGGCAAATGACTGAATTAACTAGTTAATTCTGGTTGCATGCACTTTCTTTGGCTTCCCCTACTCTGTCCGTGGACTCATCCCATCTCCTTAGTCCTTTCCATGGTGGAATAGAGGCCCCACAAACACTGGTTAAAAATCAGCCCTAGGCTGAAAAAAGCTCCCCACCTCCCTCAGGTCCAGGCTGCTTGGAGGCTTGGAGCTTTCCCTCCCTTGACCTTAATATAATTGCTGACCCCGGGCTAAAGGGACATCATGGCGTTCCCATGGTCAGGAGCATATTCACAAGGGGATTGTTTGGCATACTATTCTATTGCATAGAAAAAATTGAATTCCAAGAAACCTTCCTTTCTTATTTTTTCAAGGAAATTTCTCACCATATGGTTTTTACAACACATATGAAAATCTTTGTGCTGTGTCTGCTGAAGTCCCAGTATGGTGTAAAGATAGCAGTATGAACAGTAGGCAGTTGACGTCCTGTAGTGTCCTCTCCCTGGCTCCCCCAGAAAAAAGGATAAATTAAACAAATCTTTTTTTTCCAGAAAAGGAGGTTCCTCTTTCCCCCTTTCCTTTCCTTTCTACACTGAAAAAATGCAGCCTGTGGATAAAGGTCTTCCTTACGTTGTTTGTTTTTTGGACTTATATTCTACCCCACTGTCTGAGCATGTTTACAACACAATTATGCAAATAACAACTTTGCTCCCCAGCAAGCTGGGTACTCATTTTACTTACTTGGAAGGGTGGACTGCTGAGTCAACCTTGAGACGGCTACCTGAATCCTTTGGGATTGAGCTCAGATCCTGAGCAGAGTCTTGACTGCAGTACTGCAGTTCAGCCACTGCACCACAGGGCTTTTTTGGAAATGGAACGAGTTCCCTATGGTTGTGAAAACAGTAGCTGCTTCCTCATTAAATGACAGGATAACTGAGATCAGGTTCCTAGTTATGAGAAGTTTTGAAATACTGGTAGCCTGCCCAGCATAAGGAACAAAATGTTCATGCAGCATTCCATGAAACAGCAAAACAGGTGGGACTCTGTCCCTGTTATACATCATGAATAGGCCCCAAGTAAGGAAAAGCTCCAGTAGAAAACCATGATTTGAGAGACAGGGGTGTAAGTGATATCCAGGACTTGAAAAATGCAATCGTCCACTTGTCTGTGATGTGTGAAAAATGTTGCTGAACAAGTCACAGCTCCTTCCCTCCCTGCCTCCTTCCCCTCTGACTATCTCTCTTTCTCTAATCCTGCAATCCTCCCCTCCCCCTCCCATTGCAAAAGGAAAACTGCCCTCTTCTCGTGAGAAGAGAGTTCGAGCGGCACATAGAGATACAGCTCTGCAGGAGAATGTAGAATAGCCCCATTCCAGAAAATACGGCGAGTCCCTGCTCCCAATTTCAACTGAATGAGGACACATCCTGAGGTGGAAGGGAACCATGGTTGCTTAAGAGGCCAGGTGCTTTTGCTTTCAGTTTTATTTTTGAAAGGCATTCAAAAGACAAGCTGCATGACTCCACAGGCGCGCAGGTAATAAAGCAGTCCAAGTCTCAGGGTATAAATCTGTGATTCTCAGTTCCAATAAATTGCAAGGTTATAGCCCAGTCATGCTGACTGGTGAAATTTTTGACTGACTGGTGAGAAAATCTCAAATTTTTCAAGGCCTGTATATACCTCATGGTATGCTCTTTCAAAAACTACAAGTCCCAGAAATTTTTGCTTTCTGCTAGCATCCATTGCATACAGGTGAGAAGCACAACAAGGTATTAACAGTTGGAAGAAGGAATATTTAGGATATTGAGTAGAAATGGAGACGAATTGAAAAAATGGTGGTTTTCTGCAATTTCTAATTCATCAAGGTTGACATCACAAACTTACATTCTCTGTGATTTTGGTGTTTATAGCTGCTATGGGGGCATTTTATAGCTTGATGAATGGGCAATTGCTAAAATTTTGTTAATTCGTATTTGTTCGGGGGGCATCCCTTCTGATGAATATGAATGGATACATTGTTGTTGTTTTTTTATGAATTTTTCCATTCATTTTTTTATTCATGCCCATTTCTAATAGTGAGACTTGAAGACAGTGAAAGCGAATACAGTACTGATGTTAGCATTCGAACACCATTTGTTGTTTAGTTGTTAAGTCATGTCCGACTCTTGGTGACCCCATGGACCAGAGCACACATGACCCTCCTGTCTTCCACTGCCTCCCGGAGTTTGGTCAAATTCATGTTGGTTGCTTCGCAGACACTGTCCAGCCATCTCGTCCTCTGTCGTCCCCTGCTCCTCTTGTCTTCACTCTTTCTCAACATCAGTATATTGGAATAGTATCTTATGTATAATATATGTACACAGACACGTAAAATTTCCTGAGTTCCCACAAAAATAGGTTGTTTTTCAATTCCTCCCCTGGCTGAATACTCTCTCTGGTAAATTCTGCACAGAAAAATTGTATTTCTATGCAGAGATTGTAACAGTCCTGTACCTCTTTGTGTTTCTTCTGCCATTTCCATTTAAATCCTGACATTTGCATTCAGTGGAAGCATAGGGTGCAACTACACTAAGCATCGAAATCATTCACATTCAGATCTGCTGCTGGTCTGCTCAAAGTCTCCCTTTGCTTGAAGTTTGCTATTGTCAATTACATGTAAATGTCCTATGATCTGAATTAGTTTCATTTCAGGTAGTCATTCCCACATGTCTGTATGCTGTGGTTCAATACATGACCCTAGTCCCATCTTCCTCCTCTGCCATTGTTGATACTGTTTTCCCTCTCTTTCGCCCACCCCTCCCTTTAATCTCTGCTGTCAGTCACCAAGACTAGTGTTAACTGGGTGTGGGTTTCTCTCTTTGATCATCCCTAAGGGTACCTCTGTGATGAATATTGTTTAAAAAATCTGCAAGGAGTGGGTTTTGAGGAGGCATGTATGAAAGCTCTCACCACACCTGATCCATGGCCAAATGAAGGGCTAACACATCAGGGCAAACTTGCTTGGTACTCTTTAAGAGATACCAAACCCTCAATGCTGTCCACATTCATGAAGGAACATGCATGTCCAGATTTGTGTTAAAAACACACACACACACACACACACACACACACACACACAACCTGAAAAAACATATTCCCATGAATGGAGAAACGGACATGGCTATGATCTCCAAGACAGGGCTAACACAACACCATCCATTTCATGGCCATAAAGGTAAAGGTTCCCCTTGACAATTTTTGTCCAGTCATGTTCGACTCTAGGGGGCGGTGCTCATCCCCGTTTCCAAGCCATGGAGCCAGCATTTTGTCCGAAGACAATCTTCCGTGGTCACATGGCCAGTGCGACTTAGACACGGAACTCTGTTACCTTCCCACCGAGGTGGTCCTTATTGATCTACTTGCATTTGCATGCTTTCGAACCGCTAGGTTGGCGGGAGCTGGGACAAGCGACGGGCGCTCACTCCATCACGTGGATTCGATCTTACAACTACTTGGTCTTCTGACCCTGCAGCACAGGTTTCTGCGGTTTAGCCTGCAGCGCCACCACGTCCCTACATTTCATGGCCATAGTAGAACTTAAATGTAGAGTGTAGTGTGCTGTATTGGGACATATGCCTTCCCAAGAGTGCGGTCCAGTCACCATTAGGCACTTCCAAAAGAAAGAAGAATGAGCTGTGCATTTAGTACCTACAGTAGGTGTTATATAGATAAGAGCTATAAGCACTGAAGTCATTTCCCTCCTATTACCCTCCCCAAATGCAAATAGTCTAGTTTATGAAGAAAAAACTAAAAACCCAGTGCCTGACTCAGCAAAACACAACTTCCGGCTGAATATAGAATGTCCCGGAATAGGACAGATGCCAAGTTCAGGGAGGTTCTGTACAGAAATTAACATGTTATCTTATACAGTTAAAGGTCAGTGTACCTAAAGATTGAGGGAGGGAGAAAAAGTGAAAGAAAAAAAATACTGGTTTATCTTTTGCCATTCAATTTTGAACTACTTTGTTGTGATTTCCTATCTTCTTTCTATGTACCTGCATATCTTCACAAGAAAGTTTGGATATTAAGCATCTAAAAGTATAATACTGTAAACAACTAGTAATTAGTTCCTCCTACACTAGCTTCAGAAGTAAAATATGACATCTGTAGAGTGTACTTTCTCCATCACTGCCTTATATAGTGTAGGCTCCTAGACTCTGCCCAGCACTAGTCCTAAGCATCTCATTCTTCTTTTCCAGAGCCCCTCTTTTTCCCAGGAACCCCTTACTCATGAGTACTTCTATTGCTTTTGGTTCTCAGTTGGTGGCTATCTAGGTCTGCTTTTCCGGCATTTGCCGTCTTGGTGGCTGAGAGGTCGTTCAGCCCCCTCTCATTCAGAAAGGGAGCTTTCCAGAGTATCTTCTGGAGAATAATACTGGTAAGGTTTCCCCTACATGCTTTGTGTGGTGCCCAAGCCTCCCTACGGAGCGCTTAGCACTCGGTCAGAGAGTTCAGCAGGCCACTTACCTACCACCTTTGTGCTGAGGTAAGTCCCAAGACCTCAGCAGTGTGTAGCATAAGCCCCTTGAACAAATCTGGCCTAAACACTTTACTTTTACCCAGTACTTTGCGAGTAC